CTCCCTGCTCGTACCCCAGTTCTTCACAGGCCTTCAGGGGCCGTGAGATAAATGGCAGCTGTGTCCCTTAGAGCCACGTGACAGGGATCCTGCTGCCACAGCTTCTGAGGCAGATAGCCAGGGTGGGTCCTCTGGGAAGCGGGTGCCGTGCCGGCTCTGCGGGCCCTCTGCTGCCGGAGGGGCCCAAGGAAGCACAGCTGCCCGTGGCCCTCCAGCACCTGGAGCTTCCAGCACACCGAGACCTTTTTAACAAGTCATTTCAGGGTTTCAGGGTTTTTTAATGGAAAACATTAGTTATAGAAGTGGGGGAAGCTTATGTTTGGGAGCCTCTTTTTTTTTAAGATTTATTTTTTTAGAGAGAGGGTAAGGGAGGGAGAGAAACATTGATGGGTTGCCTCTTGCATGCCCCTGGTCCCCCAGCTGGGGACCTGGCCCACAATCCAGGCACGTGTCCAGACCGGGAGTCGAACCAGCAACCTTTCAGTTCACAGGCCGGCACTCAACCCAGTGAGCCACACCAGCCAGGGCAGTTTAGGAGCCTGTTAATGTTATCACACCGGCTGTGTGACCTTGAGGAAGCGACACGATTCTCAGCCTCAGATTCCCGGCCTCTCTGCTAGCGGTGCAAACACCCACCTCACAGGGTTGGGAAGAGGAGAGAATGTCCCAAGCTGAGCGCTTGGCACAGTGCCACCTGGCAAGCATTCATCCAAGTCGCTAACGACCCTGAATAAGTATAAGTTAAAAGTGAGCGTTTCCCCATCTCCCACAGCCCATTGATCACTTAGACAGATGGTGTAGGTAGGCTTCCAGAATTTTTCTATGTACAAAAATATGTACATATGTAATTTTTGTTAATAAAAACGAGATCATGCCGTAACGTACAGAATGTTCTGCAGCTTGCATTTTTTCAGTTACTATGTCAGGGTGCCCTTCCATCGTGGGCACAAACACCAGTTACTGACAACCCACGTCTTTACAGGCTACATAGCATTTCCTGCCTTCTCAACCTCTCTCCGATTGGACACCGGTTATTATCTAGTTTTGTCATCAGTATAAATTCTAAGAACTAATTCAAGGAAGGTTCAGGAGGTTCATCAGAGGGATATTAGTTTAGTGTCTTGTTTTATTTTGCTTTTTTATTTAACGATTTTATTTATTTTTAGAAAGAGGGGAAGGGAAGGAGAGAAACATCAATGTGTGGTTGCCTCTCACGCGCCCCCTACTGGGGACCTGGCTGGGAATCGAACCAGCGATGCTTTGGTTCACAGGCCAGCGCTCAATCCACTGAGCCACACCAGCCAGGGCCAGTGTCTGGTTTTCAAAGCAAGTTCTTATTTTATCTCATTTGGTTTTCACTGAACCCTTACCAGAGAGGCGATACCCCATTTACAACTAGGAAAACAGGTTTGTCAAGAGGAACGGGCTTCCCGAGGATGCCGCTAATCATGACAGAGGGGACCGAGCACTGTCCCCTCCAGTTGCATGTGTCTGTCGTGCTTCAGGAGCAGAAGCTGCCAATGCAGGGGTCTGCAGGGGCCAGGCTGGTGATGCCAGCAGGGGAATGGCCAATCTAAGGTGACGGGTGGCACTTGGCTTCAGCCTCGAGGCGAGAAGAGGGAGCGGCGGGGGCTGTGGGCCCGAGAGAGACCTTCCTGGTCGCTGACCACTTGACCAGCTGACGGAGAATCACAAGCCCCGCTTGCTTGAGCTTCCGTGTCCAAGAGAAGCAGGAAAGGCAGGCTTTCCTGTGAAACCTCCCAGACGGCAGATGTAGCCAGCCAACTCAGAGCTCTTCTGCCCTCGAGTGCGGACTGGGGCCCCGGGTCAGGCCCAAACTTCACTTTCTACTTGTGATTATAAAGCAGGGACCTAGAATGCGAGGCGTGGTCGCTGGTACCCGACACCGCAGTCCCCCGCAGGCCCTGCTGTACCCCCCCCTTGCCCCGTCCTCCGCCCTGGGGGGTTAAGTGGCCCATTTAAAAAGAAAAGACCACTTTATTTTGTGGCTCATCCTCCTGCCTTCCTTTTGTCCACCTTCAGTGCTGGGCACTGGTGAGCAAGCCCTGACTGTCCCCGTCTCCTGAGCCACCTGTGCGTACGTGACGTCAGCCCACCCAGGCCAGAGTCTGGGAGAACGTGCCCCGTGAGCTGTGTGTCAGGTGAAGACCATCAGACTCCCCTTCACTTCTCTGCCTCTCCATCTCCCTGTCCTCAGCAGCATGGTGAAGAGTGGGGCCCCGAGAGCCACACTCCGTGGGGTCCGGTCCCTGCTGTGTCTCTAGGTAGCAGTGTGGTCTCCAGCAGTTCACCTTTCCACCTGTGCCTCAGTTTCCTTATCTGTAAACTGGAGGCAGTGCTTAGCTCAGGGAATGTTGTCACTCTTCTCTAGCTTTGCCGGGGCTGTGCAGGCGCTGGCGGCACAAAGGGAAACCTCAGCGCTTGCCCTAAAGCAGCACGGCCTTGACCTAAGTGTGCACAACAGTCAGCAAAAAGCTGGTGACTCTGGGGCAGCCGAAGCCTTTCTCCTGCCAGGTGTTCAAGTTTTGAAATCTTTAGAGTTCCCAAGTGCCCTGAAGGCTGGGTTCCCTGACTCCTTTGTGGGGGGCCGCTGTGGGCTGCCCACCTCCTTTTCTTCCTGCTAGAGACTCACGGCGAACTCGGGCCTGGATTCCTGAGCCGGAGAGAACCTGCTGGCTCTTCAGCCCTCTCCCTGTGGGCCAGCTTCCTTCTCCTCTGGCGGTGCACGTCAACCCAGACCCACCTTCCAGATGAGAGAAAGATCCCGGGCAGCTCTCCTGGGCAGAGACTCCCTCTTCCTGTGGTCCAGGTTCAGGCGCACTTCCCCCTGGAGGGGCCCAGTGGCCTTGTCCAGTCCATGGGCCTACACCTATATCCTCTCTACCTCTGCTGAGCCATGACCCCGGGGCAGGGACCCCTGGGCTCACCGTGACCCCATTCATAGTAATGTCCAGAATAGACAAATCCACAGACAGAGTGTGGCCATGGGGTGTATTAACCCACTCAGGCTGCCGTACCAAGTACCACAGACCAGGGGGCTTGGACAATTCACGTGTATTTTCTCTCAGCCCTGGAGGCCAGGAATCCGAGAGCGAAGTGTTGAAAGGGCTGGTTTCCCTCTGAGGCCTCGGCTGCTAGATGGCCGTCTTTCCCGGTGTCTGCACGTGGGCTTCCCTGAGGGTCTGTGTCCTGACCTCTTCTCACGACGCTGGTCACCCTGGATTAGGGCCCACTCTAGTGGCCTCACTTTGCCTCTTTAAAAGACGGTGTTCCCAGCCCTGGCTGGCGTAGCTCAGTGGATTGAGCTCGGACTGCGAACCAAAGCATCGCAGGTTCGATTCCCAGTCAGGGCACATGCCTGGGTTGCAGGCCACGGCCCCCAGCAACTGCACATTGATGTCTCTCTCTCTCTCTCTCTTTCTCCCTCCCTTCCCTCTCTAAAAGTAAGTAAATACAATTTTTTTTAAAGACGGTGTTTCCGAATCAGTCCCGTTCTGAAGTACTGGGGCTGAGACTTCAACATGAGAAGGGAGGTTAAGGGGCACACAGTTCAGCCCGTAACACAGGAGGAGTGGGGCGTGACTGCTGGTGAACACGGGGCTTCTTTCTGGGGTGATGGAAACGTTCTCGAATTAGTGATGACCGATGCTGAAAACCGCTGCCCTGCTCTGAAGGGGCGAACTTGGCCTGGTGCAAGAAGGAGGCTGGTCTGCAGAGGGAGGAGAGTGTGGGCTGCGACCAGCTGGCAGGTCGGCAGGGGGCCCGTCACCCAGGCCTCCCAAACCCCGCAGCCCCGGTACCTCAAGTGGCTGCTCCCCGAGGAAGACTTTGCCCTTCTCCACAAGGTCCGGCCTGAACGCTCAGTACTGCAGACCCTTCCAACTGGGATTGGAATCGGGACTGTTTGTTTACTTTATTGATTTATCACTCTTCACTTGAGGACATGCTTATTGATTTGCTGATTTTAGGGGAAGGGGAAGGGAAGGGGAGAGAGGGGAAGAGAAACATTTACACAAGAAAGCAACATCAATCCGTTGCCCCTGGTATGCACCCTGACTGGGACTTGAACCCATGACCTTTTGGTTTACAGATAATGCTCCAACTAACTGAGCCACACCAGCCAGCCACGGCGGGACACTTTTTAAACCTCCAAGGGCCGACCTCCTTCCCTGGTGGGCAGTTAGCCGTGCGGCAGACGCAGCTCAGAATGACTTCTTGCTTGTCGACACACGGGGTGTCCCCTGTGTGCCAGGCACTGTGCTGAGTCCTGGCCACCCAGTGTGCCACTTAGCTCTTCTGACAATCCAGTGAAGCAGGTACCATTTCAAAGCCACGCTGCCCACACAGCCGATAAACGGCAGAGTCAGAATTCGAACCCTGGCAGCCTGGCTCCAGGGCCCGTGCCGTTACCCACGACTACGCTGCCCCGTAACAGCCCTACAAGTTAGAGTGTATCAGCCTGTGGTCCTAATGGTCCTAGCTTTAGAGATGAGGACACTGAGGCCCAGCAAGGCCCGTGACTTGGCGGGGGTCACACCGTGAGTTGGGGTGTTGGGAATGGTGTGGGCCAGTGCGTGTGGGTAAGTGGCCTTGGTGCCTGGGAGACCACAGGGACAAAGTCTGGGGTGGGTGAGTCCGGCGGGGAGCCAGTGGTGGGGGAGAGGCAGGGCCCAGGGCTGGGCACCGCCCCTGCCTCCCGCCGCCTGGGTTCCCAGGCTCAGCCCTGCTTCCCCCAGCTCTCAGCCCAGCTCTCAGCCGCCCCGGAGGTGGCTCCTTGGCAAGGCTGTGGGGCAGCCTTCCCTGCCACCGGGGTCAGGGCCAGTGTCACGGGTGCCAAAGAGACAGCCAAGGGGCTGCGCAGGGGCAGGGTGCCAGTATCCCTGGGAAGCCACCTCCCCGCTTGAAGTGGGTGGGGTGCGGCAGAAGCCCTCGTGACCTTGCGGCTGACATTCCTTAGTGGCCACGTGGCCCCAACTGGCAGGGACAGCTGCAGACAGGGGCCGGACCAGCTTTGTTCCCAGGGTGGCACCGTTCTCCACCAGGCCCTACTCGACTCCCGCCTGGTGCTGCTTTCCTTCCCGGAGCGCAGTGGGCAGCGGGCACTGTGGGTCCCCCGCCATGAGAGTCTAGAGGCGGCGAGCCACCAGGGTCTGTCCGCGTGGGGCGTGGGGCTCCGGGAGGATGGGCCAGGACCAGACGAAGCAGCAGATCGAGAAGGGGCTCCAGCTGTACCAGTCTAACCAGACGGAGAAGGCGCTGCAGGTGTGGACGAAGGTGCTGGAGAAGAGCTCCGACCTCGTGGGGCGCTTCCGCGTGCTGGGCTGCCTGGTCACGGCCCACTCGGAGATGGGCCGCTACAAGGAGATGCTGAAGGTGGGGTGCCCGCGGCTGGCGTGGGAGGGAGGGGCAGGGCCGGGTTTCGCCCAGGCTTCCCGGCCTCCCTCCCGCGTCCTCAGGCTTCCCTAGTCCCGCAGGCTGGCAGCCGGGACCGAGGCCCTGAATCCACACCCGACGCCCTGGGTTTTTGATGCTGAGTCTTGGCATGGAATTCAGGCTTGTGGCCTTGAACTTCTGGGTTCAGGGGTTTCGAGGCCGGCAGTCTAGGTTCCAGACTTCCTGTTTGGGGCTCTGCATCGGAGTCTGGGGGGCACTGGCTGCAGGTTTGAGGCTGGGGCAGGAAAGGTGAAAGCTCTGGGTCTGAGCTTGGGAGGTGGAGGCTCCAGGGCTGAAGCTTCCACTCTGTGGTGGGGAGCAGAGAATGCTCCTGAGGCTGGGTGTGGCAAGTTGGGGTCTAAGCTTCAGGGTCTGAGGCTCAAGGGGGTGGAGGCTCCAGTCCAAGGCTCAGGCTGACAGCCACACGCCCACCACCCCTGTGGGCAGTTTGCCGTGGTGCAGATCGACACTGCTCGGGAGCTGGAGGACGCCAACTTCCTCCTGGAGAGCTACCTGAACCTGGCGCGCAGCAACGAGAAGCTGTGTGAGTTTCACAAGACCATCTCCTACTGCAAGACCTGCCTCGGCCTGCCTGGCACCAGGGCGGGCGCCCAGCTCGGGGGCCAGGTCAGCCTGAGCATGGGCAACGCCTTCCTGGGCCTCAGCCTCTTCCAGAAGGCCCTGGAGAGCTTCGAGAAGGCCCTGCGCTATGCCCACAACAACGACGACACCATGCTTGAGTGCCGCGTCTGCTGCAGCCTGGGCAGCTTCTATGCCCAGGTCAAGGTGTGTGCGGGCCCCCGGGGCGGGGGGGTGATGGTGGGGTCAGGCTCCCCTTGCATTTCCTCGTGTATTCAGTCCTCCTGTTCAGGTAGGGACAAGGCGGACAAGAGTCTGAGAATCCGAGAGGGAGAACACTTACCCAGGGAGGTAAAGACTGGGCTAGGAGTGACAGAGCCAGGATTCAAACCTGGACGTGTCTGTCTGACTCTCGAGGGGGAATGGGAGGCTCCTGTCTGAGCACGGGCCGGGAACCTGCTCTGCCGAGCACCTGCTGTGTGACCCTGGACACGGCACCTCTCCTCTCCGAACCTCGGCAGGTGTATCTGTATGACGAGGAAGAGCAGGGGCTACCGTCCAGCGTGTTTGTAAGGATTCATTCATCAAATAACTATTGGGCATTTGCCATTTCCCAGGCACTTTTGCTCTGGGGTGCCGCACTGAGAACAACAGCAGAGTCCCTGGCCCCGGGGAAGCTTGTTCCCCAGGTGGGGGATGAGGATAAACACAATGAGTAAGTCAGTTCCATAGCCTGCTAGAAAGTGCTTCTTAGGAGGAGGGGAAGCAGGGCAGGGGGTGGGAGGTGCTGACAGGGTGCTGCAGCCTCAAAAGACTGGGTGTCGGAAGGCCTCACAGAGGTGATGTTGGGGACTTCAAGATGAGGGTGAGCCATGCACAAATCTGGGGAACGCGTGGAAAGGAGGGAACGGCAAAGGCAAAGCTCTGCCCTGGCGGAGCACACCTGCCGTGTTCCCGGAAGGACAGCGGCCAGCACAGCTGCAGCAGGCGGTGAGAGGGGACAGGGGGTGGGGGTCCCAGGGCATGGGGGAGGGGAGAAGGCAGATCCTGAACGGGCTGATGGGGCCTGTGACCACAGGCTTCTGGTCCTGAGGCTTTGTTCTTTCTCTGAGCATCCAGGCTGCCCTCGGCCAGGCCTGTGGCAGGTGCTCATGCCTGGCACGTAGGCAGTGCCTGGGAAACCTGGGGTGAGTGAGCGCGTAGAAGGTTAGGAAGCGAGTGGGGCTGTGAGGAAGTGAGAGTCTCCCAGGATGACACTGAGGGTTTTGTTTCCAGCAGCCAGACTGACAGGGAAGCCATTCAGTGGGCTGCACGAGGATCGGAGACAAATGGGGACGTTTTCAAACCTTGTTTTATTGCGGAGAAAACGAACCATACCGGAAAGTCAAGAGAGTAATGTGTACATCTCAATATATCCTTTTAGAATGAACCGTTATTAATATTTTGCCGTATTTGATGTATACATTTTTCTATTTTCATGTAACTTTTTTTTTCAGTTACAGTTGACTTTCAATATTATAGTAGTTTCAGGTGTACAGCACACTGGTTAGACATTATGTGCCTTGTGATGGGACCCACCTGGCACCATGCGTAGTTACTGTGGTCACTGACCGGATTCCCTGTGCTGTTCTCTGCATTCCTGGGCCTGTTCCATAACTGCCCATTTGTGCCTCTTAATCCCTCATCTACATATTTTTAACTGAAGTGTTCTGATATAAAGTTATAGATATCATGATACTTTACACCAAAGCACTTTAGTCTTGCATCTCTGAAAAAAAAAAGAGGACATTTTCTTATATTTCCTTTTTTTTAAGATTTTATTTATTATTTATTTACTTTTTAGAGAGGAGAAGGGAGGCAGAAAGAGAGGGAGAGAAGCATCAATGTGTGGTTGCCTCTAACATGCCCCCCACTGGGGACCTGGCTCACAACCCAGGCCTGTGCCCTGACTGGGTTCGCAGGCCGGTGCTCAATCCACTGAGCCACACCAGCCAGGGTTTATATTTCTTATATAAGGACACTTTCTTACCTAATTGAAATTCTATTGTTATACATACCATAATGAAAACCTCTTTATTTATCTTAAATTTCTGTTCTTTTCCTGAAAACATGCTTTTACCCTTGGCTCCTTTGATTTGGAACATAAGCAGGAGTTGTATATTATGTCTCTTAAGTCTCTTTTGGTAGAAAATTCCTACCCTCCCCTTTTACTTTCCATCATTTATTGAAGAAGTCAGTTTAACAGTCTTGTAAAATGTTCCACCTTATTGTCTCATTGCTTCCTCAAGGAGTCCTGTAATAATTGTTCCTTCATCTCTTTACCTCCCTATCACCTGGAATTTTTTTTTAAGATTTTATTTATTTACTTTAGAGAGATGGGGAAGGGAGGGAGAAAGAGAGGGAGTGAAACATCAATGTGTGGTTGCCTCTAACACACCCCCTACTGGGGATATAGCCTGCAACCCAGGCATGTGCCCTAACCGGGAATCATACCAGTGATGCTTTGGTTCACAGGCCTGCACTCAATCCACTGAGCCACCAGCCAGGGCCCTATCACCTGGAATTTAAAAATGACTTGTTTAGGCCCTGGCCGGGCAGCTCGCTTGGCTGGAGCGTCATCCCAATACTCCAGGGCTGTGAGTTCCATTCCCAGTCAGGACACATGCAGGGACCAACCAGTGAGTGCATGGATGGGTGGGGCAATGGATCGATGTTTCTCTCTCTCTCTCTCTGTCTCTCTCACAAATCAGTAAAAATACATACACACACACACATGCACACATCATGACTTGGTTAGAGTGAAGCAACACATTCTTGGTAAGGATGCTGCCTGAACAGTGCTGTGTTCTTCATGTCGCATCATGTCGGATGTTGAGGGAGTAACCAACTACCTGACCCTTCCGTTTCAGGGTTTGGTTTCTCCTTTCGTGACCAGCAGGTTAATGTGTAGGGTGACGCTGGCACCCCGGGAACGTTCTGTTCTGCAGTGACATTTACCATAATGGTTTTAGCGTCCACTGATGTTTGCTGCCTGCATTGAGTCATTCACTTGAACGCTCATACAATGGCCATTTCCCAGTTCTCTCATTCCGGCTACTGTTATGAGCTGGGATTTTTCTATGCAGAAGAACTTGTCCTCGTCTATCAGGGCTAGTTGGTTACTTTGGAATACAGTCCCTAAAGGAAAGGCCGAGATACCGTTAAATACTTCCTCCTTCTCCTTAGTCACCGCTTTCAGAATAAGTTGATGGTCACACTTACCCGATTCGGCTTCCTCTTTTGGGAGTGTTACTGTGAAATCATGGATTTTCTGTACAGTCAGCATCGTTCAGTCAGCTGCAGCCGTTGTTCTTCTTGCTGTGCACGTGCTCTGACTTCAGGCAGCGGAGTTGCCTCCAGTCCGGCTCCGGGGCCCTCCCACCAGATCCGTTTAGTCCTGGACAGGGTTCTGCTTTCTGGTGCGATACAGCGTCCCGGGCTCCTTTTCTGGCTTTCTCACCTCGGGCCTGGAGTCGGCCAGGTCCTCAGGTTCTTCTTCGTGGGAAATGGTGTTTAAAGGCAAACTGCGGGCTCTCGGCAGGCTCCGGGCTGCCGGCTTGTTGTCGCTTCTACACCTTTTTGGTTGCCAGGAGGTGTCATGGTGACGTTTCCAGTTCAGATCTAAGTTTCAGGATTTAACTTATTTTAAACTTGATTCTCTTTTCTCTCAGACTGATCTTCTTGGTTTCTAACAACACAATTAAACATTTTAGCCTACAAAATACATTAAATAGTTTCAAAAGAGAATACCAGCCCTGGCTGGTGTAGCTCAGTGGATTGAGCACGGGCTGAGAACCAAAGCGTCGCAGGTTCGATTCCCAGTCAGGGCACATGCCAGGGTTGCAGGCCACAGCCCCCAGCAACTGCACACTGATGTTTTTCTCTCTCTCTCTTTCTCCCTCCCTTCCCTCTCTAAAAATAAATAAATAAAATCTTTTTTAAAAAAGCTCAGACATTAAAAAAAGATATCAAACATTAAAAAAAAGAGAGAATACCAATATTACTCAAAAAAGTGGCTGAAGGGAGTTTAAGATTCCTTTGCTGTTTTTTTGATTTATAATACATCCCAATGTGGAGGAACTGTCCAAGTATATGTTCTGAGTTCATTTGAAATAACTTGTTTTGTTTGGTTTGGTTTGGTTATGAGGAGACATGTCCGAAGCTGCAATCAGTGAGACAAGGAAGGGCTTTAGTGCAGAAGGAGCAACAGGAGAGCCCAGGGGCCGCCTGAGCCCACTGGGAAGTCAGGGAAAAGGGGGCTTTGGGGACGGGCTCAGGGGACGGGCCTGGGACGAGCTGCCCGCTGCCTGCTGCCTGAGAGTTTCGGAGACGCGTGCCTGTGGGGAAAGAAGTGGGGGTGGGGGGAGAAGAAAGGGAAGGGAAGGAAATCTAAAATAAATTTTCTTCTACGTGGTTATAACTAATATAGTATTAATATAATGTAATATACTATATTATGATGGAATATAGTATACTGCATTATATTATATGTAACACCAATAAATTATAACAATTATATTATATATTTATCATTATCTTAATTACAATATAATAATATGCAGAGTGATTTATTTCTATCTTTAGAGTTTTTAAAATTAAATTTATTTATTTATTTTTAAATATTTTATTTATTTTTTAGAGAGGGGAAGGGAGAGGGAAAGAGAGGGAGAGAAACATCAATGTGTGGTTGCCTCCCACATGCCCCCTACTGGGGACCTGGACCACAACCCAGGCGTGTGCCCTGGACTGGGAATCGAACCGGCGACCTTTTGATTTGTAGGCCAACGCTCAACCACTGAACCACACCAGCCAGAGCTAAATTTATTTTTTTTTAAACTATAGAATATTTATATGGCTTCAAATTAAAAAGTACATAACAACATGTGTATAAGGAACAGGTTTCTGTCGGGGTTATTGAGAATTCTCTTCTGGTGGTATTAACTCAGAGGCGCTGGTCAGATATGCAGTTGAAGAGCAGAGAGGTGCTTATGTGGAAGATCTGAAACAGGTGTAGCCGAAGGAGACGTGAGGTCCAAGGAGATGGTTGGGTTTTGATGTTTGTGTTCCTGTCTGAAGTGAGCTGAGGCTCGCTGATAGGATTTGTCCCGGAGCCCCAGGAGGGACTCACACCAGACAGGGGTGGGGAGCCCTCCTCCTCAGTAGCAGGAGGGAAGCAGAGGGGTCCCCAGGGTGGGTTTGATGGATAAGCTGCTTAATGGAGCTTCTCTCTGCTTTTCTTCTGTTTTCCCAATGGAGTGTGAGGCGAGGCCGTCAGCTCAGAAGGGGCAGGGAGAAGGGCCGTTCAGAGGTTTGCAGAGAAAGGGTGAGAGAGTGATTTCATGGCCTCGGTGAGTCCATCCCGGTGTTCTTTGGAGCCGTGGCAATCAGTCATGGCGCCTTCCAGGAGCAGCTGCTGCGCTACTGGAGGCAACCTCGCGTGGGGTGGGGGTGGGGCTCTGGTCTTTCCCCCCACCCCCACCCTTCCGTGTGTCTCTGAGGCTGACAGGCCCAGCTGGGACTGGGTGAGGAGGGAAGCCAGCTGTACATTCTTGCCTTTTCATTCATTCCTTCGGCAATATTTACTGCGTATCTACTAAGTGCCAAGAACTGAGCAGTGGGTTGCTCTCCAACATCAGCAACCCAGGTGAAAATCCCTGAGTTCATGGAGCCCACACCTTTGCACTGGCTGTTCCCTCTGCCTGCATCACTCTTTCCTGGGGCTCCAGAAAGGATGAGTGGACAGCCAGTGGAGTCTAGGGCCCCCTGGCTGCCCGAGAAGCCGGGGCCTACAGCCCTCAATCTTGGAGCAGCTCCTGACACTCAGTGTGCCCCCACCTACCCCAACCCCTCCCTGTGTCCCTGCAGGACTACGAGAAAGCCCTGTTCTTCCCCAGCAAAGCCGCAGAGCTCGTCAACGACTATGGCAAAGGCTGGAGCCTCAAGTACCGGGCCATGAGCCAGTACCACATGGCTGTGGCATATCGCCTACTGGGCCACCTGGGCAGTGCCATGGACTGTTGTGAGGTGGGGCAGCAGGGCAGGGTGGGGGCCGGTGGTGGTGTGGGCCAGGGTCCGGGGCCCAGAGCAGGTGGGCCTCTTCCTTCCAGATCAGCCCCAAGTCTTGCCCCTTGTCCAGCCTTCCTACAGCCAAGCCCCTGGACAATGCACGTCTCCCTGGCGCCCAACCCTCACTCCTTCCCAGTCCATTCTCAGGGGTGCGGGCTTCTCTCTGCCCCCCGCCACTCATCCTCCGTGGGTCACTTTAAATAGGAAGCAAGCCAGTCTCTGAAGTTCCACTGACCTGGGCTCACATCCCAGCTTTGCCCCTTAGTAGCCAGGCGGCCCTGACGGAGCCATTTCTGCCCTCTGAACATGTTTCCACTTTGCTGGGCGCTGTGAGACCCCTCCGGTTCGGTGCGTGGGGCCTGAGAACCAGCATCGGTGTATTGGGCTCTGAGGCCGTTGGTGACCCCTGGTCTGCCTGTCAGAGGAGCCCCCCCCCCGGGTGAGGGCAACCCAGTGGTGGGGGCAGGTGGGCAGGCCTGGGTGACGGGCCTCCCTCGCAGGAGTCCATGAAGATCGCACTGCAGCACGGCGACCGGCCACTCCAGGCGCTCTGCCTGCTCTGCTTCGCCGACATCCACCGGAGCCGTGGGGACCTGGAGGTGAGGGCACCGGGAAGCGGGGGTCGGGGGTGCAGGCCTGGCCCAGCCTGACCCCACCCCCACCGGCTGCGCAGACAGCCTTCCCCAGGTACGACTCCGCCATGAGCATCATGACCGAGATCGGGAACCGCCTGGGCCAGGTGCAGGTGCTGCTGGGTGTGGCCAAGTGCTGGGTGGCCAGGAAGGCGCTAGACAAGGTGAGGTTGGGTCCGGTCCTGCGGCCCCCAGAGCCCCCAGAGCCCCTAGAGCCCCCAGAGCTCCCGGCCAACAGTCCGTGTGTCTGGTGCAGGGCAGGGCCCTCCCAGACACTGTGTCTAGTGTCAGCCTCACCTCAGGCCCAGTGTCCCCAGTCAGCTTCCAGGCTCACGGGGGGCCCAGGCACTGCCCAGTCCCACGGCTGGTGAAGGGCCAGAGCTGGGGTTTGAACTCAGGATGCTTTAACTGCTTCCCTTGATTTCATGCACCCTGCAAGACAGACGCATTTTTCCCCTTCTGTATCTGAGGAAACCGAGGTGTAACTTGCCCACACAGCTCTTGCCAGGGGACCCCAGTCTCTTCCCACTGCCTTTGCACCCGGGGCAGCTGCCTGCCCATGTCACCCTCCCCATGGCTGTCCTGCCACCTTTTCCTTTCCCACAAGCCGAGGCCTCTGTCAGACAGCTCTGTCCGCAGCCCTGGCCTGTGCTCGCCTTCCAGGCTCTGGACGTCATTGAGAGAGCCCAGGACCTGGCTGAGGAGGTGGGAAACAAGGTCAGACCTGATTCCGTCTCCTGGGTCTGGAGTCAAGAGCCCAAGGTGGGACCTTGGGTGGGTGGGAAGGGCCCCTCGAGTCCGCACGTGCCCTGAGCGCTTCCTGATCTCCAGGAGGTGCCCCAGCCACTCCCAGCCCCAGCTGTTTCCCTACAGAGTGCCTCAAAGGGTTGGGCAAGAATTCCATGGCCCTGAGGATATCGGAAGTCCTCAGGGCTCTCTTCTTCTTCTTCTTCTTCTTCTTTTTTTTTTAAGATTTTAAAAATTTATTTTTAGAGAGAGGGGAGGGGAGGAAGAAGGAGAGGGAGATAAACATGAGTGTAAGAGAAACATCGACTGGTTGTCTCTCGTACGCACTCTGACCTGGGACTGAGCCTGCAACCCAGGTATGTGCCCTGACCTGGAATCGAACCAGCGACGTTTCGCTTTGAGGGCCAACACCCAACCAACTGAGCTGCACCAGCGAGGGCCTCAGAACCTTCTTGGTGGTCACTAAAACGTCTAACAGTGACCTCCATTCACTGAGAGATGGGCACCGCAGAGCCCTTGTAGGCATCGCTCCCAGTCCTCACTGTCTCCCTGCGAGATGGGTGCAGCGGGCTCCCTGTCACAGATGGGAAAAGCGAGGATCAGAGGGGTGCTCAAAGGCCCACTGCCTGGTGCCTGGCCTGTCTCAACTCCAAAGATACATGGCCTCTCCAAATTTAATAATTGTATGCAATCCTTTAAGTATTGAAAATAGGCTCAGTGTTTCTCCAAGTCTGCTAGAAGATGTGCATTTCTCTGGGGTCGGGTAATAGTCCAACTAAAATTCCAAATAAATGTGCCTTTGGCTTGGTTATAGCCACTCTGGTTTACCCAAGTAGCTGATCAGAAATGTTAATAAGCTGTTTTTGTTTTTAAAATTTTACTTATTCTTAGAGAGAGGGGAAGGAAAGGAGAGAAACATCTGTGTGTGGTTGCCTCTTGCACACCCACTACTGGGGACCAGGCCCACACAGGCATGTGCCCTGAGTGGGACTCGAACCACCGACCCTTTGGTTCACAGGCTGGCACTCAATCCACTGAATCACACTAGCCACGGTTAAATGCTAGCAGGCTGTTGTTACAGTTAACTAATGAAAACAGGAAAACAATTATGGAGTCAATGTAGCAAGTTTGGTCAATGAAACCCTTCAAAAACATGGGGTCCCCAGCTGGCTGTAGGGGTGAAGACAACTGACCTCAGCACCCATCCCCCACTCTGCATGAGAGGACAGCACGGCCCAGAGAGGGCGGGACATTTTCCTCAGGTCCACCAGCCAGGCAGGAATGTGCCCAAGACTGGACCCCGTATGACTGACTGCCTGGTGACCCCTCGGGGAGGGAAGCGGGACGCCCGGCCCGTGAGCACTAACTTGGTCTCATCCCCTCTGCCCGCTCTCCCATCCCCGCCGGCCCAGCTGAGCCAGCTGAAGCTGCACTGCCTGAGCGAGAGCATCTACCGCAGCAAGGGGCTGCAGCGGGAGCTGCGTGCCCACGTGGTGCGCTTCCACGAGTGCGTGGAGGAGACTGAGCTCTACTGCGGCCTGTGTGGGGAGTCCATCGGCGAGAGGAACGCCCGGCTGCAGGCCCTGCCCTGCTCCCACATCTTCCACCTCCGGTGAGGGTTCCTGCGGCTGGGGTGGGGTTGGGGGCGGGGGCACGGGGGTGGGGGGGCGCTCTGCGGGCGCTCTAGGGCCTCGTCACAGTAGTAATACCAACAGCAGACATGCAGTGCTTTCTGTGTCCCAAGGTTGCCTCAGAGCTTCCCGTATTTTGACTCATTGAACCCTCCCCGTGGCCCGTGAGGTGGCCTTCCTTAAGGTCATCCTCCCCAAAGAGAATTCAGAGAGGCCCCTGAAAGGTCACGGCATTTAGGCAGCTGGAAGTACACCCCTTCTAGGCCAGTGCTGTGGGCAAGTGGTGGGCAAGCAGTGTCACAGGCAGGGGCCTGGGGCCATCCCCTTCCCTTGGCTCCTCCCAGGCCCCTGGGGTGGGGGAAGGGTGGGAGAGAGAGGCCATGGCCTAGGATGGAAGGACAGGCTCAGTGCGTAGACAGAGCCCTTTGCCTCCCAAGGTGCCTGCAGAACAACGGGACACGGAACTGCCCCAACTGCCGCCGCTCATCCATGAAGCCTGGCTTCGTGTGACTTTGTCAGCAGCCATGGGCTCCCGCCGCACCCGCCCTGCTCCCGCTCCACCGTCACCCTGGAGACCCCCGACTGGCCGTGCCTAGGATGCCTCTTTGCTCCTGGGAAAGCCGCCACGACCTAGAGCCTGACCACTGCTGTTCCTCAAGGCCCTGCGCTCCTCCCCACCTCTTTGTACTTTGCTCTTTATAGAAAAATAAACCGTTTGTACCTGGTCCCGGCGATCCTGACTTTTCCCTAACGTAGGTCCGAGAGGGTGGGGGACGGCGGGGTGAGGCTCCCCACAGGAGCCTCCTCAGACACACGCGTCCCTCTGCGCACACATGTGAGTGCCTCCCGCTGCCCTTCCACGGGCGTGGGACGCCAGTGAGCCAGAGACAAAGGTCCCTGTGGGAGGAGCTGCTGACGTGCGGGGGGTGGGGGGGGTGGGAGGATGTGACCAACAGAAACACAATAATCAAGCAACATACAAAGTCAGCGAGAAGGATGGTGTGGATTGTGTCCTCCATGTGTCGAAGCCCCAACCCTGCCCTGCTGCAACTGCATGAAAAGATAAGGCCTTTAAGGTGGAAATTAAGGTTCAATGAGGCCGTAAGGGTGGGGCCCTAATCCATTAGGTGACTGCGGTTAGAAGAGGAGACACAGGAGAGCTTTCGCTGTCTCTCCGTGATGCACAAAGGAAAGGCCGTGTGGGGACGCGGGAAGAGGGCAGCTACCTGCACGCCAGGAAGAGAGCCTTCCCTGGAAACCTGATTTGCTAGCACCTGGATCTTGGGCTTTCTAACCAGCAGAATCGTGAGGAAATAAATTTCTGTTGTTGAAGCCCACCCATTTTCTGGTGTTTTGTTATCGCAAAAGTAATGGCAAAAACAAGTGGACTATTACAGCAGTGATGAGATTTGGGGCAACGAAGAGTCGAGCAGTGTTCCTCTGCCTCACCTTCATCCCTTCCCTTCTCTTCAGCCCTAACACCGTGAGGTGGGACAGAGCAAGACAGGCATGCTTGGGGAGGGTGGCTCGGTGCCGGGTGCTGGGGCCCAAGCAGTTGGAGCAGGTGTCCACACAGGGGAGGAGGCTCCAGTGTGGGAGGGGCCTGCCTGCAGAGAGCAGGGTGGCCGCACATATGGATGCCTCATTCCGGAGAGTCGGAGCCCAAGCAAGGTGAGCAAGGGGCTCAGAGGGCAAGGCCTGGTGCTGGGTACTGGAGCCGAGCGAGGTGAGGAGGACTCCATGCATATGGCTGGTCAGGAGCGGAGCCTGTAAAGGGCGTCTACACATGGGGCAGCTGGTGTGGAGTGTCAGAGCCAGAGCAGGGTGGTGAGGACACCCTGGAGGAGAAAGGCCTCACATGGGGACCCGGCACCTGTGCAAAGGGACCAGGGCATCCACTCGGTGGTGGTGGGCAGGGTGCCACCCAGCACAGAGCACCAAGCTGGGTACGGAGGGGCAGCCTGTATGGGTCTTTGGGGCCTAAGCAAGGTAAGGAGGCAGCCAAGTTAAGGGAGGTCAGGTGTGAGGTGTCAGAGCTTGAGTAGGATGAATAGGGTCTATGCGTGGGGACATCCGAACCCCGAGAGCGTGGACAGAAATCTGGGCATGGAAGGAAGGGGCAATGAGAAATTGCTTCATAGAGGGGACTGGTCACATAAGTAAATATACTCAGGGGAGTGGGAGCCAGGTCACTATTGAAAAACAGTCATAAATAAGAAAAGGAAAAATGCCAGAACTGCAATTGGAGGAATCAATGTGAACTCACAGATTTCAAAATATATAGCTAAAGAGAGAAATAAGCACAGGGCGGGGTAAACGTGAGTTTACCATTGTGAGTGTGCAAAACACAGTTTATTCTTTTTTAAAAAAGATTTTATTTATGTATTACATTTTTATTGATTTTTAAAAAGATTATTTATTCATTTTTCAAGGAGAGGGTCCGGGAGGGAGAAAAACATCAATGTGTGAGAGAAATATCGATCAGTTGCCTCTTGCACACCCCCAACCAGGTACCTGGCCCACAACCCAGGCATGTGCTCTGACCAGGAACCAAACCAGCGACCTTTTGGTTTGTGGGCGGACACCCAGCCCACTGAGCCACACCATTCAGGGCTACAGAATTTACCCTTGTATTATTAGTCAGTAATCATTGTATTATTTTCCATATAACTGCAAACCTGCTTTTGCCCAACTCTGTATAGCTATGCTTGCGTGTGCATGTGTGCATTGGCCTGGTAGCGGTGACATGCCAGTAGCAATGAGCACACCTAGCACCCAGATGTTCGCTTCTAAATACCGTGTTCCACTAAAAAGAATCAAGGTCTTCGGGGGAAATGGGCAATTCTAGGCCTGGACCAGGGAAGGTACAAGATGAGCCTAGAATATCTTGGGTCAGACAGCAAAGAAAGTTGAAAGAATGACGAGGCTAATTCAAAAGGACACAAGAGCCAGTTTGAATGGGCTCCCGCTGGCCCATTAATACTGATCATCTTAGCTCAGGCTGCCATAACACAATCCCATAGACTGGGTGGCTTAACCAAGTGAAATTTATTTTCTTGGAGCTCTGGAGACTAGAAGTGCAAGATCAAGGTGCCAGCAGGGCTGGTGTCTGGTGAGGGCTCTCTCCTTGGGTTACAGATGGCCACCCTCTCATTGTCCTCACAATGCCTTTCTCTGTGCTTGTGAGTAGAGAGAGAGAGAGATCTTGCTTCCTCTTCTTATAAGGCCACTAATTCCATTGTTAGGGTCTCATCCTCATTACCCGTCCAATCTAATCCTTAATTGTGCCTCCTGAAAGTTCTATTTCCAAATACCACCCCCATTGGGGGTTAGGGCTTCAACATATGAATTTTTGCGGGGGGCGGGGGGAACCCAAACATTTAGTCCATCACAACGATAGTAACAGATTTTATCGGGTAAAGCAAGAATCCATACTTACATAAATAAATAAATGACTAAATTAAAAATCTGATGAAGAATGGGATCTTTATAGAGCTCCAAAATACTTTCCCACAAAAGACTTATTAATTTCAAGGGAAAAAAAGAGTGACTTCCCAGTGGAGAAGATTGGCAGACACCTGATTAGTCAAGTGAGAAAGGTTGACCTCTCCAGGGAGGGAACAATACCAAAGCAGGTGCCACCTGAAGTAATGCAATGAGACACTCGGCACCTCCTCTGTGATACTCCTGCCAGAGACGAAACACCTGGATGTAAAATCACGGGGAACACCAAATAAATACAAGTTTAGAAATAGTCTCCAAAGTAACTGTAATCTTCAAAAATGTCAAGGTCACGAAGCCAAGGAAAGACTGAGAAACTATGCCAATTAGAGGAGACTGAAGCACTACAACTGAATCCTATGCTGGATTCTGGGTTTGATTCTGGACTGGATCCGTTTGCTGTAAGTGACATTATTGGGTCAGGTGATAAAACATGAATGAAGACCCCCTGACATTAAAGGTTGTGTTGTGGTTAAGTAGGCAAATGACCTCGATTGTAGGAAATTCCCACCAAAGTGTTCAATGGGTTGTGGTAGCCTGTCAGCGATTTACTCTCAGTTGGTGCAAGGAGAAGCGTGATTTGTATTGTGTTTCAACTTTTCTTTAAGTTTGATTTTTTTTTTCAAAATAAATATATGTAGTTTAAAAAAAGAGTAGAGCGTCGTAAGGGGACGAGGAGTGTGGGGAAGGGCTGGGGCTGTAAGGAAGGGTGAGCCTGGGTGAGAAGGAGGCATATGAGCCAAAATGTGGAGGAGGTGAGGGGGTGAACCAAGCAAATACCCTGGACAGCGTTCCAGAGAAAGGGAACAGAGATCTAAACAGGAGCCAGGGGAGGCCTGTGAGTGTGAGTAGGGTGGAAGCGAGGCGGAGTCGAGGTCCTGGAGGAAATCGTGGGAGAGCAAAGGCACCTGGGAACCTGGGGGACGGGTAGCTGCTGAGGGGGTTTGAGCAGAGGGCTGACATGGCCTGACTAGGTTTTAGAAGAATCCCTTTGGATGCTTTGTTGAGAACTGACTTCACTAGATACTGGCTTGGGTGCCTCAAACATGTTAATGGCATGAAAGACCAGAAAAGGACTGTTCTGCATTAAAGGCAGCTAAAGGGATATGTCAATGGAGTGTTATGTGAACCTGGGTTTGATACTGAGTTTTTTTAAGGCTCTAAATGATGTTTTCAGGATAATCAAAGACATTTTAATATGGGCTGTGTACAGATATCAAGGAGGGTGGTCTCGATACACGGAGTAGGAGTCTTGATAAAACTGGGCTAGGCAGACAGAGGACAGCACCCAAGGACAAGACCTAGTGGAAAAGAAGATGCAGGAGCCTGTCTAAAGTTCGGTCAAGGAGAGACTGCCACCAGCAATCACAGGCCCAGGCTGGAGACTTTCTAAATGTATTCCCTTTTGTTGGGGTGACCAGTAGGCTCCAAACAGGCCCCACCTGCCCCAGGACCAGCACAGGCAGGACAGCTCCTTCCCCACCTGGGCTTCTTGACCCGTCAGGCCGCTCTGAAAAGTGTGAAGTTGGGGTCAGCTGCCGCCGTGCTGACACTGACTCACTGAGCAGCCTGGACAAGTCACTTAACCTGTGGTCCTCCACATCCTTGTCTAACACTGAGAATGATAATTCACCCCGTTCACAGGGCTGGGCTGTTGGGAGGATGGAATATACACTGTTATGTGCAAGGGTGCTTTGTCAGCCTAAACAAGCCACTGCCAAAGGAAAATTCCTGCAGCTGCACCCCAAGAAAAGCACCGGGCATATTTTCACCCAGTGGATGGTTTGACCTAAAATATAAGCTACTTGACTTATATGAAGTTCGTTTTATGGGGTCCTGTGCCTCGCCTCAGAGTGGTAAGCAGAGATCCTCCAGCGCAGAGGACACAGGTGCAGCAAATGAGTCTCAGGTGCTCCAAAGAGCTCTGTCGTACTCAGATGGAAAGAAATGATTACAGACGTGATGGTTAGTTTTTGGGGTTTTTTTTTAGTCGTAGAGTCTGATTGCCAATTGAGCTCTTACCACGTAGGCAGAACTGTGACACCTGCTCCGAAGTTAGCGGTAGCAATGATCTCCAAAACTGGTTAAGAATTTTCTCAGGTAACCCTGGATGGCCAGCTTGTACTTTAATAAATTGTAATTATAAAAACGCTGCCTGACATGTTATGACCCCCCCTCCCCCGCGCGCTTTTACACAAGGCTAGCGTATGTTGTTTACGTTTGGATAGGTAGAGCCATTGTGTGAATCCCCTAATTCCTAAATGGGTCAGACTCTGAGGTTGAATCAACTCCTTCGAAAGCGTTTCAGTTACGGGCCAAACTAAGACTACATTTCCCAAGGGCCTTTGCGGCTCTCGCC